TCATCGGAAAGGCCTTGGAGATGATATAGAGGCCCTCCGTGGTCGATTCCCCCTCCGACGGAGCACCGACGAAGGCTCCAAGATGGGATCTCGTGGATACAAAAGGTTGCGGCGGTGGAATTAGGTTTTTGCGGTGCTCCTGGAAGTTTTCGGGGTACGTGGATATATATAGGAGGAAGAAGTAGGTCGGTTGATGCTCGAGGGCCCCACGATGGTGGGGGCGCGCCCACCCCAGGGGGTGCGCCGGGCACCCTCGTGGCCGCCTCGGTTGTTGCTTGACGTCCACTCCAAGTCCCCTGGATTGCGTTTGTTCCCTTTGGACTCCGTTTGATATTCCTTTTCTTCAAAACACTGAAATAGGCAAAAGCAGCAATTTGGACTAGGCCTCCTGTTAGTAGGTTAGTCCCAAAAATGGTATAAAAGTGTAAAGTAAAGCCCATAAACATCCAAAACAGGTAATATAATAGCATGGAATAATCAAAAATTATAGATAAGTTGGAGACGTATCAACCCCCTTTTATATGCACAGGCCGTACACAAGCGGTACTACCGCTCCTAGGAGTGGTACTACCGTGCCCTAGTACCTTCCTAGTACCACGAGAGCATAAAACACTACAGTAGCCCCAAAATAACCGTTAGTGGCAATGGAAGTAAACTTACGGTAGTACCGCACGGGCGGTACTAGCATCCCCCTACTACTGTGCTATTGCCGCTCATTTACAGGAGCATAAAAGCAAGCGGAAGAGAGTGCGTTAGGTCATAGCAGAAGTACCATATGAGTGGTAGTATCGTGGAGTGAAGCAGTACTACCGCTTGGGAGCTGAAATTTCCCAAGAGAAATAGATGGATACAATAAAACCTGAACTTCCATAGCTTCTCCAAATGAGCTCCGAATTGAGCAAACTCAAACTTGTCAGATAGATGACGAAAAATACTATCCATCAGTGAAGAAGTGGCAAGGGGAGTATGCCTATGATATGGAGGAGTGAAACCTCCATAAGTGAAGAACCAACATAAACTCCCATATCGGAAACATCATAGAAGATGCACGTGAACGCCGTTTGCGATGAACTCGAGCTTGTCACGAATATGACCATAAGCTCTAAAACTCACAAAGAGAAACACCAAACAAGAACCAATAAAGATAATGCAAGGATGAAATCGTTTGAGCTCTCTACGAACGATACGATCAAGCTACTTACTTGAGAGCCCCCTTTGATAGTACGACATTTGATCCTATAACCCGGTCTCCCAACTACCACCATGAGACTGGTAAAATAGAAAACCTATCAAGGGAGAACCTTTGCCTTGCACATAGTCCATTTGAGCTAGATGATGACGATCTTGACTTCTATAAGATGGACCACCTTTCTTGATTGCGCCGGCTCGATGAAGACTAGTAGATCGCTCCCCCATTCTCAACTATGGGTGAGCACTCTTCGGCACATATTCACATGCCCATTATCACCACAATGAACGGCAAGCTTCAAGCATGTGATTAATGACCCACAAGTATATGGAGTTAATAGTAGCCTTTTCGATAAGTAAGAGTGTCGAACCCAACGAGGAGCAGAAGGAAATGATAAGTGACTTTCAGCAAGGTAATGTCTGCAAGTGCTAAAATTGTAAGTAGCGGAGTAGTTTGATAGCAAGATAATTTGTAACGAGCAAGTAACAATAGTAACAAAAGTGCAGAAAGGTAGCCCAATCCTTTTGAGGCAAAGGGCAGGCCAAGACGGTCTTCTTATGATAAGCAAAGTGTTCTTGAGAGTACATGGGAATTTCATCTAGTCACTTTCATCATGTTGGCTTAATTCGTGTTTGCTACTTTGATAATTTGGTATGTGGGTGGACAGGTTATTAGGTGCTGTTCTTACTTGAACAAACCTCCTACTTATGATTGACCCTCCCGCAAGCATCCGCAACTATGAGAAAAGTATTAAGAATAAATTCTAACCATAGCATTAAACTTTTGGATCCAATCGGTCCCTTACGGAATAGCGCATAAACTGGGGTTTAAGCTTCTGTCACTCTCGCAACCCATCATCTAATAACTAGTCCATAATGCATTCCCTTTGGCCCAAATATGGTGAAGTGCCATGTAGTCGACGTTCACATGACACCACTAAGGGAATCACAACATACATATCATCAAAATATCGAACACATATCAAGTTCACATGATTACTTGCAACATGATTTCTCCCGTCACCTCAAGAACAAAAGTAACTACTCACACATGATAATCATGCTCAAGATCAGAGGGGTATTAAGTAGCATAATGGATCTGATCATATAATCTTCCACCAAATAAACCATGTAGTAATCAACTACAAGGTGTAATCAACACTACTAGTCACCCACAAGCACCAATCTATAGTTCCTGTACAAAGATTGAACACGAGAGATGAACTAGGGTTTGAGAGGAGTTGGTGCTGTTGAAGATGTTGATGAATATAGCCCTCCCCAAGATGGGAGAGTTGTTGGTGATGATGATGACGATGATTTCCCCCTCCGGGAGGGAAGTTCCTCTGGCGGAATCGCTCTGCCGGAGGGCAAAAGTGCTCCTACCTAGGTTCCGCCTCGAGATGGCGGAGCTTCGTCCCGAAAGTCCTCTCCTTATTTTTTTTCTAGGTCAAAATGACTTATATACGAGAAGAGGGGCACCGGAGGTTGGGCCTGGGCGAGCACAACTTACCAGGGCGCGCCTGGGCTACCTGGCACGCCCAGCTGGGTTGTGCCCACCTGGTGGGCCCCCTCTGATACTTATTGACTCCAAAAATTCTTATTTATTCCATAAAATATCCTCATGAAGTTTCAGCTCATTTGGAGTTGTGTAGAATAGGCAGCCTGACGTAGCTTTTTCAGGTCCAGATTTCTAGCTGCCAGAATTCTCCCCCTTTGTGTATACTTTGCATATTATGAGAGAAAGGGAATTAGAACAACTCCAAAAAGCATTATTATATAATAAAACAACATAAATAACAGTGGGTAAACATGATGCGAAATGGACGTATCAACTCCCCCAGGCTTAGACCTCGCTTGTCCTCAAGCAAAAACCAAAATCGAAAAACATGTCCGCATGCATAGACAGAGAGGTGTCGATAAAAACAAAAATACGGACGTAGCAGCATCATGTAACTTATTATAATAGCAACAAACTTTAACATAAAACTTTTATCATATAACTTTTGTCATATTCTTATCATGAACAAGTGACAAATCATCACAACATCGAAGTATAAAGTATAAACTCTATTGGAAACCAACAAACTACGTTCTCAGTCAACTTTGCAACTACAATTCATCATCTTTTCAGGAAGGGTCATGTATCGGAGCCTTTAGGCAAGTCCACATACTCAACCATCATTTAGTCTTCTATGATTGCTAACACTCGCCGCATACACATGAGCAAAACATTTCAACCAGACACATAGAAAGATAGGGGCTTATGGTTTCGCCTCCCAATGCATTCACCTTGAGGGTGATGTCAAAAATAATAACTCATGCTACCCATATTCAACTGGATATATGTGCCTAGATCTTTCTTCTCCACATGATGCTTGCCAAAGGAGAAAAAATAAAAAGGAACAGAGAGAAGAACTTTGACTCTTGCATGAAAGTAAATACATGAAAGTAAAAGATAGGCCCTTCGTAGAAGATAGGTTTCCATGCACTTTTAATTTGTATTCTCAACCCCTTAGTGCAAGAGAACGTCATGTTATATTGCCCCTTGTGATGGCAACCTTTATTATGTAGTAGGTCTCTTTTATTCTTCACCATCACAAGTTCGTACAATGCTCAATTTTCCCTTATACTAAATGATCTCACACTTTTAGAAGCAATCTTTATTTCCCTTTTAGCACCGATGAAAACTCACTTGAAGTTTCTTACTCAATCCAAACGTAGGTATGGTGGACTCTCAAACAAGATTTGGGTTTAAGGGTTTTGGATGCACAAGTAGTATCTTTACTTAGTGTGGAGTTTTTGGCTAGCAAAGATAGGGGCAAGCACCAGATGTTGAAGGATCTATGAAAATATAACTTCTATGTGAAAATGAACAAACATAATTCATTAAGTTGTCTTTCTTGTCCAATGTCAACAATTTTGGCATATAATATTTTTATGGGTGCTCACAATCACAAAAAAATTCCAGGATAGTGTATTCGCATGTGAATCTTCTCTTCCCTTATTAATTCTTTCACGTGTTGTATCATTGACTAATGCTATGTTGGTCAATCTACAATCAAATTTTGTACTTATACTTTTCCTTGTATAATGTCATCACTTACCATAAGATTAACATATGATCTGTTTCATTTATTTTGTTTCCTTTTATTGAAACAAGAAAGTAAAGAAGGCAAAACTCAAACTAAACTTTATTATATATCTTGCACACGATTACAAAGATTGATCACTAAGCAAACTCTCGAAAAGAAAGGATCGAACTAAACTTTTATTCATCTAAAGCAAAAGATGACCATGGATCGAACTAAGAAAAGTAAAGGCAAAAGATAGTGGAGATAATACAATACCGGGGCACCTCCCCCAAGCTTGACGCAAGCCAAGGGGAGTGCCCATACCCTATACTCAATTTACTTTTGGTGATGAAGAAGGAGGTGATGGTGATGAAGTAGAAGCGATCCGGTCCTTAAGGACCAAGAGACTCTCCAATCTTCGGATAACGCTCCGGAGGGAGGCGATGTGCTCCAGATGCAGAATATTTTCACGAGTGAGATACTTATTTTGTATACGAACCGTTTCAATGATCCTGAAGGCTGCAATCTCAGTGGGGGTAAGATGAGCATAGTAAGGTTTAAGGATATCTTCATCTTCCTCATTGACAGGCAAGTCTTGCTCGATCATCGGCACTTGATCTCCGGTGGCCTCCTTGCTCTTATCCTCCTTGGCTGCTCCAACGGGATCTTCTCTCTTCAACTTGATCTTCAGCAACCAAGCATCCTCTTCCATATGATCAGAGGGAGAATAAGACATGATGCCTGGCTCAACAGATCTGACAGAAAACAACAAGAAAAGAAAACAGGAAATTTCTCCGCGATACGGAGGTCAACAGGTTCAGGAGGTGTATAAAGATTTTTTTTTTATCTTGGGGAACAAGCAGAACGGAAGAAAAATGGAGTCCGGAAAGTACTCGAGGTGGGCACAACCCACAGGGGGGCGCCTGGCAAGCCAGGCGCGCCCTAGTGTATCGTGCCCACCAGGGTCACCTTCCTAGAAGTTTCTTATTTTCCTAATTTTTTAAATATTCCAAAACTGAGAAAAAATATTTTTGCGGATTTTTCAGAGTCTGTTTACTTACCACATCACGTACCTCCCTTTTTCACGATTCTAGAGTGTTCCAGAAGGTTTCTTTTATGTGTTGTTCTGGTGTCATAGTTTGGATAATATTGCCTTCAACAATAATGGGCGTACCTAAGATATAATGTTTTATTCTTTGCCCATTAACAACCTTCGGCGTTATTTATCTTGATTGCTCCGGATCGATAGACCTCGTCGATAACATAGGTCCTTCCCATTTGGAGAGGAGTTTTCCTGCAAAGAATCTGAAATGAGAGTTGTACAAAAGAACATATTCCCCAACCTTGAACTCAAGCTTTTGGATTCTTTTGTCATGCCATCTTTTAAATTTTTCTTTGAATAACTTTGCATTTTCATAAGCCTGGTTTCTCCATTCATCTAATGAGCTAACATCAAATAACCTCTTTTCACCGACAAGTTTGAAGTTGAGTTCTTTAATTGCCCAATATTCTTTAGGTTCTAACTCAAGAGGCAAATGACAAGATTTTCCATAAACCATTTTATAAGGAGACATACCCATATGATTTTTGTATGCTGTTCTGTAAGCCCAAAGTGCATCATACAATTTCTTAGACCAATTCTTCCGGGACCTATTGACAGTCTTTTGTAAGATTAGTTTTATTTCTCTATTGCTAAGTTCAAGTTGACCAGTAGACTGAGTATGATAAGGTGATGCAGTTCTATGGTTAACATCATACTTAGCAAGCATTTTACGGAAAGCACCATGAATAAAGTGTGAACCACGCCATCAGTCATTAAATATCTAGGGATGCAAACCTTGGGAAAATAACTTCCTTAAGCATTTTTATAGATGTATTGTGATCAGCACTGCTGGTTGGAATAGCTTCTACCCACTTAGTGACGTAATCAACAACAACCAAAATATGTGTATACCCATTAGAGGAAGGAAAAGGACCCATGAAATCAAATCACCAAACATCAAATGATTCAACAGTAAATGAATAATTCATAGGCATTTCTTGACGCTTACCGATATTACCTGTTCTTTGACATTCATCACAACATGAGACAAACTTACGGGCATACTTTAAGAGAGTAGGCCAATAAAAACAAGATTGCAATACCTTATGAGCGGTTCCCTCTCCTGCGTGATGTCCTCCATAAGCCTCGGAATGACATTTCCATAGGATTTGTTCATATTCATGCTCAGGTACACAACATCTAATAATCCATCTACTCCTTTATAATGATGTGGATCATCCCAGAAGTAATGTCTTAAATCATAGAATAATTTTTTCTTTTGTTGGTATGTGAAGCTCAGTGGTATGTATTTAGCAACAATATAATTAGCATAGTGAGCATACCAAGGTGTACTATTAGAAACATTTATTGCAGGTTCATCAGGAAAGCCTAGACAAGTTATCAGCTACGGGGTTCTCTGCTCCTTTCCTATCAGTGATATGGAAATCAAATTCTTGTAGAAGAAAAACCCACCTAATGAGTTTAGGTTTAGCATATTTCTTTTCCATGAGATATTTTATAGCAGCATGATCAGTGTGAACAATCACTTTAGAATCAACAATGTAAGATCTAAATTTATCACAAGCAAACACCACTGCAAGATTATTTTTCAGTAGTAGCATAACTTCGTTGAGCACTGTCTAGAGTTTTACTAGCATAATGGATAACATTTAATTTCTTATGAACTCCTTGTCCTAGAACAGCACCAACAACATAATCACTAGCATCACACATAATCTCAAAAGGCAAGTTCCAATCAGGTGGTTGAACAACAGGTGCAGTAATTAAGGCATTCTTTAGTGTTTCAAAGGCTTCCAAGCAATCATCATAAAACACAAAGGAAATACACTTTTGCAAAAGATTTGTAAGAGGCCTATAAATTTTAGAAAAGTCTTTGATAAACCTCCTATAGATAATAGCGTGACCAAGGAAACTACGAATACCTTTGATATCTTTAGGACATGGCATTTTCTCAATTGCATCAACCTTAGCTTTGTCCACCTCAATGCCTCTTTTAGAAATTTTATGGCCCAAGATGATGCCTTCGTTAACCATAAAGTGTCACTTCTGCCAATTCAAGACAAGATTTGTTTGTTCACATCTCTGCAAAACTCGATCAAGATTGCTTAAACAATCATCAAAAGACTTCCCATATACAGAAAAGTTATCCATGAAAACCTTGACAATCTTTTCACAAAAATCAGAGAATATAGCAGTCATACATCTTTGAAAGGTAGCAGGTGCATTACATAAACCAAAAGGCATACGTCTATAAGCATAAGTTCCAAAAGGACAAGTAAAAGTGGTCTTTTCTTGATCAGGTTGTGAAACAGGTATTTGTGAAAGACAAGAATATCCATCAAGGAAGCAAAAATGTGTGCGCTTAGATAATCTTTCTAACATTTGATCAATAAAATGCAGAGGGTAATGATCTTTTCTAGTTGCTTTGTTTAATTCCCTATAATCAATTACCATTCTATGTCATGTGACAATTCTTTGTGGAATAAGCTCATTCTTATCATTAGAAACAACAGTAATACCTCCCTTCTTAGGGACACAATGAAAAGGACTTACCCATCTACTATCAGCTATAGGATAGATTATACCTGCTTCCAAAAGTTTCAATATTTCCATTCTTACTACTTCTTTCATCTTTTGATTTAACATACGTTGGTGATCAACAACGGGTTTAGCATCAGGTTCCATATTAATCTTGTGCTGACATGGAGTGGCACTAATGCCTTAAGATCATCAAGAGTATATCCGATAGCAGCTCGGTTCTTCATTAAAACTTTCAATAATCTTTCTTCTTCATGTTTTGAAAGGTTACCACTAAAAATAACAGGATATATCTTTTTCTCATCAAGATAAGCAAATTTCAAAGTGTCTGGCAATTGTTTTATTTCAAACACAGGATCACCTTTAGGTGGAGGAGGACCTCCTAGGGTTTCAATAGGTAAATTGTGTTTAAGGAGAGGTTGTTGTTTGAAAAAGATTCTATCTATTTCATTTCTTTAAATATGCAAATCATTTTCATGGTCTAGAAAATATTGTTCTAAAGGATCATTAGGAGGTACAACAATAGAAGCAAGACAAATAATTTCATCATTACTAGGGAAATCTTTCTTATGAGGTTGTCTAGTAAACTTGGAAAAATTAAATTCAGGAGATTCATCACCAAAGCTAACACTGACAGTTTGTTTCTTACAATCTATTCTGGCATTGATGGTGTTCAAGAAAGGTGTACCAAAGATAATGGGACAAAATTCATCTTGTGGGGAGCCAAGGACAACAAAATTAGTAGGGTATTTTATTTTTCCCACACAAGACTTCAACATCTCTAAGAATCCCAATTTGTGATATAGTATCTCTATTGGCAAGTTTGAAAATAACATCTATGTCTTCTATTTCAGAAGGTGCTATTTCTTTCGTAATTTCTTCATATAAGGAAAAAGGAATAGCACTCACACTAGCGCCTAGGTCATATAACCCATGATAACAGTGATCTCCTATCTTAACTGAGACAACATGCATGCCAACAACTAGTCTATGTTTATCCCTTTTATCGGGTTTGGCAATTCTAGAAGCTTCATCACAGAAGTAAATAATATGCCCATCAATATTATCGACTAAGAGATCTTTAATCATAACAACACTAGCTTCAACTCTGATTTGTTCAACTGGTTTGTGTGTCCTAACATAACTTTTGTTAACCACAGTTGAAGTTTTAGCATGTTCCTTCATCCTAATAGGGAAAGGTGGTTTTCAATATAAGTAGTGGGAACAACTGAATCAACATTGTAAATGATAGTTTCTTCTTTAGCTTTTACCGGTTCTTTAACTTCTTCTTTAATAGGTGGGTGATATTTGAATCACTTCTCCTTAGGGAGATCAACATGAGTAGCAAAATATTCACAAAAGGAAGCTACTATTTCAGAGTCGTCCATATTTGGTGCTAAACTTTTGAAAGGCATCGGTATTCATAAAAGATTTAACACAATCAGACTTAGGTTCAATACCTGACTCTTTACCTTCGTCGAGTTCCCAATCACTACTAGGGAAAACCTTATACACAGAACTTTAGCAGGAGCACATGTCAAAAAAGCACGCTGGTGCTAAGTAGCAGTAGCGCGCTGGTGTAAATGGCACTACAGATAAAGTTGTATCAGTAGCGCGTCTAAAGATAAAGGCACTACTACTAAAATTCCCACGGCTTAGCCGATAGGCTACACATAGTAGTAGCGATCGAATTTGAACCTCACTACCGTACTTGCTTTGCAGCAACGCATTTATGCTGAAAGGCGCTACTGCTAAAGGACATAAAATTAAATGGAAAGCAAATAGAAAAGTAAATGAAAATGAAAGAAATAGAAGAAGGTGAAAGGAAAAAAAATAAAATGTAAAGAAAAATAAATGAAAAAGTGGGAAAAGAGAAAGGACTAGCAGTAGCGCGTATCGAGGAACGCGATGTAGCTAACTTAGCATTAGTGCACTTCCAGGAACGCGCTACTACTACCTCTGACTTAACCGCGCGGTTCGTTCTTCCCCACGGCCACTTCCCCCAGATCCAACTCTTCCACTGTCGCCGCCGTCGTCGCCTGTCGGCCGCCACGTGCTCTCCGCACACCCTCGACGCCGCCCCCGACCCCGGATTCGACGCCGCCCCCGACCCCGACCTCGACGTCGCCCTCCGTCGCGCGCCCGAGCCCCGAC